CATACCTGTCAACTCATACAGTTTAGCCATAGTTCATACGGATTTTGTGGTGAATCTTACGTATATGGCCGTGTCGCACAAATCATACGGATTCTGAAAATTTCCGGGTTTTTTTTCCCCCCTAACAGGTAGTTCCGTTTGCTTTTGCCCAGAATGGTGCTAGTCTACTCGAATGCTTTCATTTCCGGTAACTTTCCAGGATTGCCACTAAGTAGAATGATGATTATACATTAACCAGACATTGTATTATGGAGATCTACAATAAATATCATTGAAAATTTCGTGGGTTTTTTTTTCTGCCGTTATTTTGACATATAAAATGCTTTGGTATGTTATAAGGATTTTTTGCTCTTTATAAGGATTTTTTTGGTAGTTTATACAGGTTGGCGCTCCGAAAAGTTGACAGGTATGCGAGCCCCTCCCAGATGACTGAGCATGTTACCCCTCCTCTAAGGGAGAGTCCAGACACCCTGCTGCAGAACCGCTCGTATCTGTGAACTTATTCTTTCTGGTACCACCCACAGCCTGTAACTGTAGGTGAGGGTAGGAAAAATGTTAACGGGTAAATCATGACCTTTGCCTTTTGACTCAGTTCCTTTTTCTCCCTGACAGACAGCTGCATAGGCTGCAACACTGCAAATACTGCACCCATCTGCCTGTCGGTCTCCTGCTCTATTCTACTTTCATTCTTCAACAAGAGCCCAGATTACTTGAAATCCTCCATTTGGGACAGGATCTCTTTCTCAACACAGAGAGGGCACTTCACCCTTTTCCGACTCATGACCAGTGTCTTTTAACGGAAAGTGGTGATTCTGGCTCCAAATTGCTCTAGCAAAAGCAAAGGCCATCTTGATATAGTTGAATCCAAACTCTGAAACCCGTTGTACAGGACTGAACAGCCCATATCAAAAGGTTCAGTACTCTAGTCTCCTATATAATCACCTCCCCCACCCATCCACAAAGCACACATTTGTTGGGGCAACTTCAGAGTACAATAGTGTCCAAACCCTGTCCGAAGAAGTGGTTCCAGTGCCCAGATGTCTATTTAGGTGAGCTCAAGTACTGTATGTCTTCTCATAACCCCTCAACTTCAAACACCAGCTCAGGCGACTTCTCTGCCTTAAAACCACCTTCTATTAGACTGTCTTCCTCCAGCACCCTGCTAGCAGTACATTCAAATTCCTCGACCTCCCACAGGTGGCTCCAGAGGCAGGGACCGGCGACCACGCAAGTAAAAACTTGGCCTATATGTTTATGATCATAGGGGGTTGTGAACCATGCGCGTATGATTCTTCACCTAGGAGCTGTTTGTCCCATATCAGGGGCAGGAAGCCCCTCACACCTGAGCCGACCATGCTAAAGTGACTGCACAACAAAGGGCTTGTATTTATTGGACTATTTGAATTGTTCTTTTTTTGTTGTTGGTTCATTACCAATTATTCTAAATTTGTCACGGTTAAAACTAAAAAGCATTTGCAATGCATATTGAATTATTTTGACCACAACTGTATATGTTACCGTATATACAAGGCGTGTTTGTATGACAGGAACATTTTTGAAACCTTGAATATGTAGTTGTTAATGACATTGTATTCCAAGGCAAATATTACCTGTTTTAATTGCGTATTTTGATGATGACCTCACTTATGTCATTGTTCTATTATCTCTTCCCTATCCTAAACAAATTAAATATTGGATTTATTTTGAAAGAAGACCAAAGGCAAGATTATGGACGGAAAAACAATGAAGTGGCAGGTTAATCCAATCACACAAATAGTATGTCCATTAATATTTGGTATTTCTGCTCGTGTTCTCAGCATTCACGTGTAATTTCTGAAGGAATTGCAAAAGTGTTTAACGTCGTCAAAGAGCTTCACAAGCTTTGTCTTAACACCACCCACCCATCCTTTTTCCATATTGCTTATCCGATTCAGGGTCACGGCAGCGGCGGTAACTTAGCCAACAGGTGGACTAAACCCTTGCCAGTTGATGTTTACACTGGCTTGACCTGTAGGCCGGATATCAAAGTACTGTACTGCACCACGCACAACCAGTCGAGGCAGAGTAGATTTTGGACGATTTTACTACATACCTTATTCTACCAGAAGAGGGCGCTACAATAATTCGGTGAGATATTGAAGAGCTCATTATTCAGAAACCCCTATAGACTCTGCTGTAAAATAACACCAAAGTTTGCCAAATGTAATCTCTTCTTCAGCTACTGAATCAGTTCATCGTATCAGATAAAGTTCAAGATTAAGATTGCAAATAACTATATACCGGAATAGTTTGAAACTCGTTCTTATTAATGATGCTCCTCATTTCCAGATGTTGTGTAGTGTTTTACACTGTGGGCTGTTTGTTTTTATCATTTTGTAATATCCATCCATTATCTGAACCGCTTTTTTTCTCATGAGGGTTGCGGGTGTACATGGAGCCTACTCCAGCTGTCATCGGGCAGCAGGCGAGGTTTACCCTGAACCAGTTGCAGTCTACTTGCAGGGCACACACTGACAAAGAACCACACACACACACACACACACACACACACACACACACACACACACAACGCAAACTCCACGCAGGAAGGCGGTAGACCGGAATCAAACCTCTGTACTGTGAAGCACAGTGCTAACCATCAGTCACCGTATTGCCCGATTTTGTAACACTGCATTTGATATCTGTCAATTGAGTTGTCTTTTATGTTAAAGCCGTGCTGCTTTGCAGCCAGGTCAACTCTCTTTCGATCTCGCCGAGGACTTTTATTTGGTGAAATAAATGATACAGTACAGTACTTAAATATTTTGTTCCAGCTATTTATGAAATTATATTTAGAATTCCAATTCTCTGCAACTCATGTTTGGCAAGTAGGGATAACGTCTCAGTCCAGTGCTGGTGTAGTCCATACAGCAGTTGCAAGCTTTGCCTCTCTGCTGCTCTCATCAGTGTGATTTCTGAACAATGTACCTACAGTGAAAGAACAAGTTCAAACATGTTGGTTGGATAAGGCATCCTTCAAGCCCGAGACAGGTCCGAGTCTACTCTTTGCATGCTGTAGCATTCTGACATCCCTCGTTGCATGCCTGCATCACCTCCCCCACCCATCCACAAAGCACACATTTGTTGGGGCAACTTCAGAGTACAATAGTGTCCAAACCCTGTCCGAAGAAGTGGTTCCAGTGCCCAGATGTCTATTTAGGTGAGCTCAAGTACTGTATGTCTTCTCATAACCCCTCAACTTCAAACACCAGCTCAGGCGACTTCTCTGCCTTAAAACCACCTTCTATTAGACTGTCTTCCTCCAGCACCCTGCTAGCAGTACATTCAAATTCCTCGACCTCCCACAGGTGGCTCCAGAGGCAGGGACCGGCGACCACGCAAGTAAAAACTTGGCCTATATGTTTATGATCATAGGGGGTTGTGAACCATGCGCGTATGATTCTTCACCTAGGAGCTGTTTGTCCCATATCAGGGGCAGGAAGCCCCTCACACCTGAGCCGACCATGCTAAAGTGACTGCACAACAAAGGGCTTGTATTTATTGGACTATTTGAATTGTTCTTTTTTTGTTGTTGGTTCATTACCAATTATTCTAAATTTGTCACGGTTAAAACTAAAAAGCATTTGCAATGCATATTGAATTATTTTGACCACAACTGTATATGTTACCGTATATACAAGGCGTGTTTGTATGACAGGAACATTTTTGAAACCTTGAATATGTAGTTGTTAATGACATTGTATTCCAAGGCAAATATTACCTGTTTTAATTGCGTATTTTGATGATGACCTCACTTATGTCATTGTTCTATTATCTCTTCCCTATCCTAAACAAATTAAATATT